GAGAGAGACAGTGAGACAGTGAGACAGTGAGAGTGAGAATGAGCGAGTGCGGCCGCAAGATACGCAACGCTAACCGCATGCCAAAGAGCGACGACAGGACGGAGTCGAACTTGCGAAGAGGGAGGAGGGAGGGAAGGTGGGAGGAAGACAGTTTCAGCCACCTCGTGTGCACCTCAACCCGGACCAACGGTCGTCTTAGGTGCGATCTGCTGTCCGTCGTCTTCCACTTCAAGGATCTCAAGTTGGAGGTGATGCGGCTCCGACCGACCAATGGAGCTACACTCCCAAGTGAAGAGTCCTTTATATGTGGCTCTTTGCCCGGATCCTCCTGCGAGAGAAGAGAGAGAAGAGAGACGGAAAGACGAGAAACAGAGAGGAGAGAGAGAGAGAGAGAGAGAGCGAAAAGAGAGATGAGAGAGAGATGAGAGAGAGAGAGAGAGAGAGGGGGGGGGCTTCGACCTGAAAAATCAGGGGTTAGGATTTGCACCCGATCGAAAGAAACCTTGCTATCGCAAGAGTAACTCCAGCTAGCTTCGCTAGCTTTCGTGACAAGAGTGAGAGAGAGAGAGAGCGAGAACAAAAAATACCCGTGTCCAGTTTCTCCACTTTCCTCCCAATCCAAACACTCATGCGTATTTATTGTATAGGCAAGTCTTCTCTAATATACAGGCAAGTCTTGTAACTTTGGTTTCGAGAACTATTGATAGTCGTGCATTATATTGATTTGTGTAGTTGTAAAAATCATAAACACGCTCTGATCGAGCCTTTTGATCCGGTGTTTGTGACATGATCCATGAAATGATACCTTTTAAAATCAATTTGATCGTTTGGGCATTCAACATCAACCACACTTGGGTGTGTACTTTCCGGAATCAAACGATGCACGATCGAAACACCTATGGAAAGATATGGAAAGGTTGTGTGGCTTTAGCTGTCACTGCAGACTTATACAGCTTGCATCCATACCCCACACATGGCCGAAACCTCACAGCATGCCATCCACTCAGAGCCATGTATAAAAGGACCTGCAAACAGCTGATCGCTGCTCCCCGGTCAAGAATTGGGTGCGGCGTTCTTCGCCCCGCAGCGGCCTATCCGAAAGGAGTCCCTGCCGTTCGGCAACGACGGTTCCGCCCGGCTGCCTCGCTGCTTCTGGGACTGAGATCAAGGCTGCCTCTGGGATGGTTCGTCACATGACGAAGGTCGCATGCAGCGCTGAATGAATGCGGAAAATGACGGGCAATTGCAGACTCAGAGAGTTTTGGGTGGTCAACTGAAGGCCCTGACAGGTCAGGGCATTTATTGGTGTGTCCTCATTTAGCTGAATTGCCCTGTCTCCAGTCGAAGGCACGAGCACTCGTTTGTCCTCAATCTTAAAAGGATCCCTTCAAAACACGCAGCAGAAACTCTGTGTCCCTTCAATGCTAATCCCTGCCTGGTGTCCAGAGAGTCTGGGCACCGCTTCCTAAAATTGCCTGGAGCCTCTGGATGTGTATTGAAATAAGAGACCTCCAGTTTGACCCTGTATCAAAGGAAACATGGACTCAAGCCCCACAGGCCAGAGGGGAGCCCTCCTGTTCTTCCAATACAGAGTGTGTCTCGGTCTCACCGCGTGGCCCGTCCCACTTGGACCGACTGACCGACTAGTTTCCTGACATGTCATCATATAGAAAACCAACTGATTGTCTGATTGACATTAACTATTCGCAGTGGACGTGAGTGATTTCCCAGCCTGATTTCAAACCCCAAAAGGGGAGACGTGATACAAAACTGTTTGTGTAACCAAAGACCATTTGAGATGTGTTTTGCTTCGTGTGAGGTTAATATTGTTTTCCAATACCAACAACATCGTGGTTGAAAATTCTTGGATTTTGTTCTTTTCTGGACGCAGCGTTTTGCTTTGAACCACAGCCCCAAGCCCAAGCCATCTGATGAATCTCAAGAGGTTTCAACTCAAATGGAGTGTTTCCATTCAAGAAGGCAAGCATTTACATGAAAATACATGAACACCAGTAGGTTTGGTCCCTCCCCGAAACCACTTCACCTTCCGACCTGAAGACGAGAGCAGTCTCCGCGGCGCCGTCACTGAGAGCTTCCGCGCGCGGCTGTCGTCCGGAGGCCTGGCCGGGAAATGGACCCAAAGACATTCGCCTCAGCTAAGGACACATAGAAAATGACCAGGTGGCCCAGAAGCCATCCATGAACAAATCTTCAAACACTTCCAAAGCTGTGTACCTTTCAGGAAACCTGTAGCTCAACTCAAGTTGAAACTGACCTTTGTAGTGGTAGAGGCTAGTGTTTGTGCAAGCAGTTTTGAGATGCTTGCATTATATATATATATATGTAGATGGTGTTCCAAAACTAGAATCCAAAGATTTGCTGTTTTCACCCAAAGGGGAAGAGATGTTGAACAGACAAAAGGCTTCAGTTGAACTGACTGGTGAACCCTGGAATGTAGACAGGTGCGAACGGATTTCACTGTAGATGGTGAATTTGGGGTTCTCACCCAAGTATGTAGAACGTTTGGGTGGGCGGGTGGGAGTGGGATTGTCCATTCCACTTGGTGTTTGTCGGAACAAATCTCCATCTACACCCACCAGGTCGCGCAGTTTAAGGCACTTAGCTTCCCCTAGGCTTCAAAACGATGAAGCACCCACGCACCGAAAAGAGAACAACAAAAAGAAAAGAAACGTCGCACATACATATATATATATATTTACATATGGTTTCTCAGGGATCTGGGCGGGTGATTAGGTACACGACCAGTACACTCCAGAAAAGAACATGATCAGGAAGAGTTCAACGCCATGAGATGTCACGATTTCACTGGTCCGTTCCGTTCAGTGACGATTTCACTGGTCCGTTTTCATGGCTGACCAATTCACCCAAACAACCGGACCAACCGGACCACCGAGCTTCTCGGTGTACCGGTCTGGTCCGGTGGACGGTTTCGATCGGTTCGGCGGTTCGGTGCGCACCGAAGGGCGAGGTTGGAGACGGTCACACGATTCATTCCATCTACTTCGAGCCTCGGCCCTTGGCAGCAAATGCTGCTTCACACATTTATCTCTATCACCACCTCCGACATCCTCCATCACTTCAGAGATGGGACAAATATGGACAAATTCATCTCAATTCCAACCTGAGATTCTGAATATCGACTCCTTCGCCTCCTTCTCTGTTCTTTCACCCCTCAAGCCACCTCATGTCACACCTCGCTTTGTGGGACCGCCCGCCGACGCACGCCGCACGCCGTGCCTGGAAGAGATCCGCGTCCGGGAAGACTCCCGTGCGTCCAAGGAGCCCACCCGCCCACGATCCTCAGCGGGCGCGGAGCTGCCGAGCGGAGCCGAGCAGCGGACTCGGTTTGGACTCGGGGGGGGACGGTGGTTGGTTGCCGACCCAAGACCACCCACCCCCAGAACGACGGATGCACATCTACGGGAGGGCCTGAAGAAAGTTTGAATCATCATGCAGTTATATTTAGTTACGAAGGAGTTGTGTCATCAATTACTATGATAGGGTGAATGACCCAAAGCTCCACCGAAACCTCCAAAAACGATTGAAAACAACATGGATAGTGGTATAAACGATCTGACTCCACCTCAATCTCTCACTCCACCCGCCAAACAACATGTGTTGGCACTTTGGACACTTGGAACAACTGAAACAACACCAAGACAACAGCCAAACAAAGCCAAATCTATTTGATCTACTAAGTCTGACTGATTACCACAAGACTTCAGATTTTTCATGATAGAGTCTACAAAGCTTTGCCTTCCTGAATAGATGTACATACAATGATTACATTAGTTGCTTACCGCTTTTCACTAGCTCCCCCTTTCGCCTCGACTGCCATTTCCCACCGGTCACCTCCCACGCACGCCTCATCCTCGAAGCGTGCCCGCCTCGGCGGCGAGGCGCTGGGCGGCGCCACGCCGCGCGAGGAGCTCGGCGGGGAGACCCTGCGAGCGACGAGCAGCGGAGCTGGGTGACCCACCGGTGACAACGCGCGGACTCGTCTGGAGGGGGGTCCCCGCATACATCCCTTGAAGCTCTCTGGCTGAAGGGTTGGGTTTGACCGACCAGTTGGCCGAACCGAAGGGCTCGCTACATTGGTGGACTGGTCGGGCTCCAAGTCTTTTTCCGCATCGGGAAGTGCAGGGGGGTGATTCACTACCTTTTTGGTGGCGTTGTCAGACTTCTTGGGAAATACTTTTGGGACATGGACATGGCACAGTTGTGAGATGTGTGGCGTCTCTCGAAGGGAAGCATGAAAGGTTCGGTAGTCTTCATCGTAGCTTGGTCATCTTGGTCTTGACTTACTCCCAACGACCTGAGCAAGGTTAAAAACCGATCGTTTTTTCGTGTCTTTGGGCCCCTTTGGGCATTAGAACACTGATGAGCCATAAAACTGAACCAGTGAGTGCACAGCACCAAGCCATTGATGTTTTTCTGTTGTTCCATGTGTGGCCGTGGGTGGAAAATCTAAATGGGCATGCATTACGCAAAGTACATGAACTTCAAAGACATAGTATCGATCGATCCCCTCCCAGTGTCCTCCGACCCCTTCGTGCAAACAGGGCACATCTTATCTTGCACTACCAAACATAGTACTGTAAACCAACGAAGAACAAGGCGTCTATGGTCACCATGGCATGGCCACAGCGAACAAGTTTGGCATGCACGCGGGATCGTTCGGCGTGCTTCGCATTGCTTCGCTGTGGATTGTTTCTCTTGAAGTCTTAGTGCTCTTCTAGTGGATGGGTGGGTGCCCCTAAACCAAAAAAAGTGCTGCTCTGTGCTCTCCCAGTGTCATAAATCGAGTCTTCAGTCGGACTCTTTCTGATACGAGGATAGCAATTGTTATGGCAGAACCACTCTCAGCTGAAAGCAAGCCCTGCAAAAGGGGTCCTAAGAATTCCTAAGGAACGGAGGTTGCTTTCGCTGTACATGGAACTGTCCCTCAGCAGGTGTAGAACACGGCAACTAGTGACAAAATCCAACGAGATGGAAGAGTTCCTGTAATTCCTGTGAGACTGAAGAAGAGTTCTCCCATGCCCCGATACAAACAGCTTGCTCCGCAAAACAATCCGTGCATGCAGTATCACGCAGCAATACTCAAAACAATCAGCCTTGGTGCACTTAAACTAGGTACGACGTGACTGCACTTGAACCCTGCCGTTGTGCTGAAAATTCAGGTATTTGGGTCCACGAATTATTTTCAGGACACCTCACACTGAAGCCGTCTTGTGTGGTGAGAGGATCGGCCCTTCGATTCATGCTTTCATGCTCATAGATGCTAACAGCGAATAGATGCAAACAGCATCTAAGGGGATAGAACGTCACCCGCGCGTTGAAACTTAAGCTTGCAGTTAAGGTGCTGTTTTACTTCTTCCATCTTCTTCCCCTCCCTGTATGTCCATCATGTTCCTTCAACCATTCCATCCAATCAGCTCATGACCCAGGCTCCGAAACAGAGTGACCATTTTCATCCATTTTCCTCTTTTGAAACGCGTTTCGAGTTGAGACGGATTCAGCCAAACTTCGTGGCGGCATCAGCTGTCGTTGAACTGTTTGCACATCGCCACAGTCTGGCATCGCAAGAAGCGGCGTCTGACGTCGTCATAGACATGTCTTGAAACAACGGCCAAGACCTGCCAATCGGTATGAACAACATCCTTTAAGCTTGTCTGCGGATTGGTTTCCCTACCGAAATCAGGGTTGAACTGCGGAGTTTTTGGACATAGATCAGTCTTAAACCCGTGATTGTGGGGTCCATCTTAACCGGTTCCTTGAGATACCTCCACGCTCATATATGCCCGGCCCCGACAGGGTTCGTAGAAGAAAAACGGATCATTCACCAACGTTGAAGAGGTTGATAAATGTGTGGATGCCAACCTCAAAGGCTTGGACCTCCCTCATCTGGAACCCCTTTACTTCATCCTGTAGTATTTTTCCTCTGGTCGGTCTCCGGGTCGAGTGACTTGTTATTTTCTCTTGAAGGAAGCAGACTTCGTAACGGCGAACCGTGTAGTCAAGTGTTGATTATTGATAAATAACCCAGCTCGAGATAGATAATCAAACATCTTATCTTAGAATCTTCAGGGTGTTTTTGAACCAGCAGTCAACATTCTCATTCATCATCTGCAACCCCAAACAACATGTTGACAAATGTCTTCAAACAGGGTTCCCTGGTCGTTCTTCCCTTCGCCCCATCTCCCCCCCTGACCGGCCCATCTCCCCTGGTGTTGGTGGACGCACCTTCTGGGCGGCCAGCATTTCCCGAGAGCTGGCGAACTCGGGGTGATCCCCTCAGTCGGGGTTCCCGACGGGCTCGGTACGAGTGATGCAAAGACTATGAGAAGTAGAAGACATGGCATGGAAGATGGTTGGAAGATGTGGCCCTCCAACTTCTCATATGGGTTCAAGATGTAAAACAACATCTGGAAGCCACTGGAAGATCTGGAAGGGTGGTTTTGTTCATCAGCTATTCATCAACTGTCTACCAGGATAGACTCTGATTCGAGGTTGGGCAAGCTGCTGAACATTTTCTCAAAGAGCTGTCATGCCGCTGAAGTGCATCTCCCATGACAAACATGATAATATTCCCCAGCCAAAAAAACACTTCTATTTGCCCATGACTCGCTCTTTTCTAACGCGATGTGGCCCTCAGATCTTCTTGATGACTTCAAAAGAGTGACCCAACCGCTGAGCTTTTGCATGTTTTTGCATGCTTTTCCCCTACGCCGCCCGATCTGAGATGAAACCCATCTCTCCCACCCCGACAGACACGCCTCGCCCACCACACCGGTCGTCCGCACCGAGGCCCCTCACGTGCCAGGACCGCCAGGCATTGCTCCGCCTCCTCGAAGTGCCTCGTTGGATGGACGAAATCAGATCTGGGTGTGGAATTTAAGAGGGAGACCCCTGTTTCCGGGGTGTCAAATTCGGCCGGGTTTGGGGGAAACGCTTTTGGCACACTGAAAGTGTACTGATTAAAAGGTGGAGTGTTTGACACCTGCACGATATTTGTGTCAGTTCGTAGATGTCACGTGTCCTCGATATACTCTCAATCTGAATTGTTAGGCCTAAATCCCGACTCTAAACAAGGTTCACACGCCAGACCCCAGATCAACTCGGGAAAAAGAATAAGACGACATTGAATTTGTTCCACAACATTCGACAGCTGTTAGAGGGCTCCACATGTGTTCTACTGGTAACACTTGCCTTAAGCAATTTGTTTCAGCCACCCCAAAGGTACCTTCAGAAGGCTTCGGAACATGATTTTCCGCTGCGCTCCGGACGCTTCGCCTGGCTTTTGCCAAGTCCAAGGATCTCTGCACCACCTGCGCTGTCCACGCGGCAGGGCGCACGCTTTTGGGCACAACACCCTATCTATCTCAACAAATTCGAATCATGCAGCACATTCCAAGGACCACCTTTTATGATTTTGATGTGCATAGTTTAGCTATGTGTTACCTACATCACTTAAGCCGCTTAAGCCAGTTCTCAGCCACTGCTTGGCGGAGTTCGCCAGTCATGGGTGGCCGTAGTTGGGTGCGTACGAAAAAGGGGAGCTGTTGCGTGCTGGAGCTGCAGCTGGACTTGCAGTTTGGCCACCCAATCCATCCGTAAAAGGATAGTTTTTCCACATCAAGTACGTGGCATCATTGTTCACACTTTGTATCCTAATGACTATAACTATAGTTAGTTATATAAATAGCTTCTGCAACTGAATCTAATCTTGCTTCATCCAACCACGATCAAACAAACCCGCAAAAGGATGCAACAGGAAGGTGACCGAAGTGTGGAAGCTATCAACTCCAACGCCGCCAAACCGAGAGCTTTTTGTGATATCCAATAAATAGTTTCCTTGGTTGAGCAATTCTGCTTGTTGTTAACAGCCCAAGCTCAAAAGCAGGAACCTTTACCCCACATGCTTCGCATCGCAGAAAGCTTGCGCATCGCGGAAAGCTGCGCCCCAAACCAATCCGTCCGAAAATCGTTCGTCCGAACCGATCGAAACACTCGAACCGGCCCCGAACAGCGGTCGGTCGAATGTCTCTTTCCTGTCGCCTCCTCCAAGAGCTGCAAGTCTTCGGCCTGGAACCGGGCGCCGTATGGCGCCCTGTGACGAGGTGGGCTCTCAGGCGACGAGTGGAGGGCTCTTTGAAAAGACGGCTCTCTCCGAGACTCGAGTGCCGCACCGAAGACCCATGGGCCAAACATGGCAAAGCAATGGGCTGGAAAAAAAACACCGGAGGTGTGCAAACTGAAGGCTGGCGGGTTGGTACCAAGCAGGAACACCAAAATGGTTAGAGATTGTTAGCCATGAGTCCCTTCAAACACCTTGGAACACTCAGTAAATTGATCAAAAACACATATATCAAAAGAACAACAGACTTTCGGATTTCGGATCGACCGAATCGACTTTGTTGATTCCGGATCTCGCCAAAGCGAACGTTGCAAACCTCGCAGTGGCCATGTTTGTTGCTGAGAAGTGCACGTCTCTCACCGAAGAAACCGCTGGTAAAATCTAGTTTGCCTCCTGCGGTTTGCCTCATGATTGACCCTGTCATTCTAGCAACACACCCCGGGTTTCTTTAGGTGTCTCAAAGATGAGGCTTCCCAAACCTAGATCAAACACCATGAAACTAATGCATGCATCTGTCCGTGCTCTCAAAACAAACGCACCGGCTCTCTCGGCATCGCTGGATGCTCTCTCTCATCCATTCACATGCCTCGAAACTGGGAGGAGGACCTGAGATGGTGACGGATTTTGCGCAGTGGGACCTCTACACCTGCAAGGTCTACATCTGCAAGGAAGGTGTATGGACATTGGGATGGATTTTTGGAAGATCCTTTGCCACACCAGTGGTGTTGAAAGTCGTGCCGTTTGGATGTAGTCTTGAAAGATTTGTCATGGTTTGTACATGACATGTGCTGTTGATGAAGAAAATCCTGCACTGCCTTCAACCGTGGCAGGATTGAGTTTGCCAAAAAGAGGGTCTGAACACCAGTAACAGCCGACAAATTGTATCATTGTAATACACTTTTTGTGCAGGTGATGCTGGTATTGTGGGCGCCAGTGAGGTTATTAGCCCAATAACCCATCACCAAAGCTTAAGCGCAACCGGTGCTGTTCTTCTTCACCGGTTGTGCCATTACTGGTTGGTTTGGTTTTCGCGAATCACCGGTTGTGCCATGGGCAGCAGTCATGCCGATACAAACACACCAGTCGAACCACCGTCACCACGTAGACCAACACCAGTCGAACCAACTTCTCACCACCCCCAAGATCACCACAAATACACAACAATTGGTTCCACTATAGTCACTAGTCCATCTGTTAGGGGTTCACTATCATAGGTTATATTCCATGCATCAATTTTTCTATGGAACTCGGAACTGCACACCGAGCTCTGATCAACCGTCTTCCACCAGGGCACACGGACATGGTTGCGGGTCCCGTGCGGCCTGCGCAGTGCCACCGCGTGCCCAAGGTCGTGGTGCCCAAAATGGTTCGATATGTTTTTCAGGACATTTTTTGGAAGGGATTCGAAATTGGTTGTTCTCTCTAGTGTGCAGTTCATGAACATTAATATATATATATATAAATCCCCGTTGCTACCGGATAGCGAGGTTCCCCATAATACACTCAAAGGTCTGCACAAGTCAGTATATTTAAAAAGTGCAAAAAACCGCGTTCTCGCAAAGTTATCTAAAAAGTCCAAAATGGGTCTGGAAGTCATGGTTTCAAGGTTTCAAGACAGAGCCCGTGACGAGTTTCCAATCGTGAAACATTCATGAAACACATATGTTCAAAAAAAACATCTACAAAAATAACACACAAGCAACACATGATGCCCATAAAAAGGAAAAAACACACACACACACATGACGCCGCGCCGCTATTGTGACCTTTTTGGTTCCTTAAGGTCTGCCATTTTGGGCGTCAGATCTTGAAGATGGAGGCAAGTCATCTTTTGGGAGGGGGGCAGGACATGTTCAAAAATAGGTTCTGGCCAGGAGATGTGTTTTTACTTTATTGTCGCTTTTGCATGTTTTTGACACAGCCTTAACATGATGCGACAAGATTGCTATCCAAACTGTGACCTGTTTGTGAAGAGCCGAGCACAAAGTTCAGCAAAACACACGGAGTGTGGACAGCATCAAGGGGGGCCAAACTGCGCCCTTGTCTTGCTTTAGCTAGCGGGCTTCTTTTTGTTCTGCGGCCTCTTCACAAGTGCCCGTTCCTGCGCCCAAAACACGGCGCCCAACACGCCATGGAAATTCCGTACGCGTTCCCCCGAACGCTTCGCGGCTGGTCCGCTTGGCTCCACCACTCCACCTGGTCGCTTCGCGCCTGGCCCGAGCCGTGGCTCCGGCGGCCTCCTCCGGCCTCCTCGGCGCCTTCACGCTGCTCAGCTGTGCGGTGAGAAATGGGATGCAAGTTCTGATTGAAGAGACACTCGATTGCTGCGGGCGGGGGGGGTTCTGCAACTTGCTTAGTTGGATGATATGATCAAACACGTTTGTGACCTGAAGGGATTTCATGGATTTGTAGCTTGGAGAGAAAACAATGGGAGTTTTTCGAAGGTCGGTGGATCATTGTGTTCATGAACTGAAGCGAATCATGCAATGGAAATATGTTCCGCACATGGTTGACAGTTCTTGTACGCAAATATGCCAGCTGTACATGTCAAAACATAGCCGACAACGGCACTTGGTGCTCCAGCTGCGGCAGGGTCTAGAAATGGCAGTGGCTCATTGCGTGTTCCTGTCCATTTTGGGGGCAGTATCAACCCATTAATGCGCACCAAACATCGATGATGGGTTAAATTCAATCCACTCCCAGCTCGTGGTGTTCCGGTCTGGCAGATCCGAGGCTCTCCCCGCCCATTCTGGATCGCTGATGGCATCACTCCTGCAAGAGCATCGATGCCAGGACCCATCTGGAACTTCCGGGGGAGGACCCACTGGAACTCGGGGGCGGGCCCATTCCGAGTAAATATGCAAAGCGATCAAGCCTCTATCAAACATCTTCTTTGAGGCTTCGCATTTCCAAGTTCCTGCTTCCATCCCTGGCACCAATCAGAATCCAAGCGCTCAGAGCCCTCGATAATATATACTTTGCAGGATGACTGGTTCACAAATATAGCGCCACTTTCTACTGCTACGACTATATTAAGTTTGTATAATTTTGTTACTACTACTACTACTGCTACTGCTACTGCTCCTGCTGCTGCTACTGCTACTGCTACTGCTACTGCTACGTGCTGCCTACTGCCTACTGCCTACTACCTACTGCTACTGCTACTTGCTGCGTACTGCCTACTGCCTACTGCCTACTACCTCTTTCGTGGATGTCCATGAATCACTGGACTCTATGACTCCGCCAGTGGCCCTAACACCATGAGTTGGATTACCATTCGGATTAGGCATGGGGTGCACCAAGGCGTACGGACGTACATCTTATGTTGTGCCGGAACCCGGGAACAGTCGCTTTTTGAGGTCAATGCGAGACCCGCACATACCATTTCTTGTAACTTGTATTGCTATACTGTGTTTAGGGGAATCACCTAAGGCGATCATAGCACTGCATAGCATCCAAACAGACCCCAACCGGCGTGTCTGCCCGGCCTGGAGCTTGCAAAGCTCACACCAGGCGCGGTAGCTGGTGCTGCCGGTGCGTATGGAGCCGCCGGTGGGCTGGGCACACTGGGCGCGCTGGGCGCACTGGGCGCGCTGGGCACCGGCGCCAAAGGCCTAGTGAGAGCAAAGTTCGTTGATCAAAAAAGACTCCCAGTGAAGGAACTACGGAAGTTCTTGATGTTCTGTCGTGTTCTACATGACAGTGAGTCGGAGTTCATTCAAATAAGAACAGGAGACCACAACTTTGGCCAAATCTGAGAAAGGAACAAGCAGAGCAACAAAGGCGCAGGGCGCAGGTCCATGATTTCTCCATGCGTGCTGTCGAATCGATTCTTGGTTTACTACTGGACTGAGCAAAGTTGACAATAACAATGCTTCCAATTGAACAGAAACAACATGACTTCCAAATAGATAGAAAATTGTATCTATATGTATCTAAATTGTTACAGTACTTACTTCCAAAACAGCAAATCCTCTACATAGATGCTTTGGGCGAGAGTCCAGAGTTCATCGTGCCATGGTCAGTGCCAGAAGACATCTTCCCACACTAAATTCCTTGGCTCACTAGCAGGTGGTCGTGGAAAAGGTTCACCATCCCTTCAAGATTGGCGTAACCATTCCCAGATTTTCCCCAGTCCTTTTCCCAGTCCTTGACCACTTCTCCACCATGGATACCCTTGACCTTTTCACTCCGACCCGGAAACACCCCCTTGCCATCTGTGCCTCTCCGCTTCTTGCTCGGGAGACTCGGGGCCTCCCAGGTGAATGGCTGTTGGGAGCGTCTGGGCAAGAGCTGATTCCGTTTTTGGAGGAAAGGGCACCTGCTTCACCGGGTTGTTGAGATTGTGAACTCGTGGTCATCCAGGACGTGCAAAAGAGAGGCTGATTTAGGTGTACAACTCGTGAGCTGTGCAGGCCATCGACCATTCTCCTCTACAGGGGGTGAACTCATGTTACCTCCACGAAACCAAGGGCACTTGGAGGGAGGGTATCCACATCACAACCGCTGTGAGTCCCTAGTGGTCCTGGTTTGAACGATCTTGGGAGCCCGGGATCGGCGGCCGGAGAAAACAACACCTCGCACCACGAGAGGAACACCGGTTGGCTGCGTGGGAGAGAATCTGATAGAATCACAACCTGGAGGAAACTCCCCATCAACATCAGTCTGTAAGGAGGATCACCTCAGCAGGAGGAGCCTCCCTTTTTGGATAACACATGAACCGCGGCCGGCCTACTCACCTTGAGCACTAAAATATCGTAAAATCAGCTGCAAGGTGGGGTTGGCCAACCATGTGCCACGTTGCTTTGGACTTGCGGCAACGACCTCCTGAGAAGGTCCGTGACTCGCAACTCGCGAAGTGACTCGGTGGGCCTTGCAGCACTTCCTCTGGTGGGCCCTGCCAGGTGTCACAAGTGCAAATCATTACAGGCAGTGTGCGGCTATCACGGCTATCACCTACAGTACGATAGCTAGTCCTGAACAGTTGTTTCTGGTCTCAAAAGCAAATAGCAAGTATCGGTGTTTTTTTTGGCCCATGTCCAAGCCTCTCTTACTTGGATCACAAAGATGGGCGCACATTCATAGCAGTGCAACACCCCCTGATCGAACATTTTATTATGAAATGCTACCTATTCACAGAAGAACTTATCTTCCTTAAATTTCACATATATATATATATATCCTCATCTTTGGTCTTCAGGATATAGTCTATATAGTACGAGTAATATGTTTTTTAAGTGAGGTCAGGGGATCCACTCCCTTCCACCGCGATGCTCCGTATGCCGGTCCGTCCGCCCATGGCGTACCCCCGTGTCGGGCACGATGCGCCTGGCATCGCGATGCGATGCACGAAGGCCCGCCAGGAGAAGTGGGGACAATGGGCTGGTGTTGAGTGTTGACCCGGTCAAAGAAACATACGGAGAAACCCGAACGTGGGCACTTATGAATGGACATTGAAATAGTTTATCAGAGCAACAATTGAAAAAACATGTCGTCAAGTCATGTGAGAAGGAAGGTGCTGGACATAGTACACCTGGCTTGTGATGACACATAGCCTATGGTGGCTCCTAATGGCTTAGTTGCAGGGACAAAGGAAATCACCGCCAACCTTAACCCCTTGAACTGGGGTGTCTGGATGTGACTGGATGTGTCTTCCATTGGCCTCTGGCCATGTCTCGCCAGGCGTCGATTCTCCGTCTTCGCTCGAATGTGACACGTCGAACGCACGCACGCACGCACTGGCCGCCTCGTCGCGAGTTCAGGGCCTCGGGCCTCACGATGCGTGGATCTCGACGCTGTGCCCCGCTGGAAAAAAGAGTGCTCACTGTGTGAGTCTGCAGTCAGGACAACTCAAGTGCATTTTTTCCCCAGATAGCGAAGCTATAGGGGTTCTTACTTCTCAATGGATGGGTGGGTTCCTGATTGCGGAAATTGGCTGCCGCTGCCGCTGCCGCCTTGTCTCCCAAGCTTGTCGCCCTTCATGATTTCGCTCTTGGCTGCCTTTGCCGGCTTATCTTCCAAGCTTGTCTCCCTTCATGACTTCGCTCTTGGCTGCCGCTGCCGCCGTGTCTTCCAAGCTTGTTTCCCTTTATGATTTCGCTCTTGGCTGCCGCTGCCGCCTTGTCTCCCAAGCTTGTCTCCCTTCATGATTTCGCTTGTGGCTGCCGCTGCCGCCTTGTCTCCCAAGCTTGTCTCCCTTCATGATTTCGCTTTTGGCTGGGAGCCTTCTGCTTTGCACAAGCGATCCGTACTTTCCAATTGCGAAATGCGTAGGGCTGGAAAAGATTTGCTGAAAAGCGCTTTTGCCATGGTGTCTAACTCTTCTTGAAATGCTATCTGGGGTCTATGCCGGTATAATTAAGATCAGAAGTCTTCTTGGTCCACTGCCTCAAAAATTTGTTCAGAAGCAATGTTCACAAAAGGGTTGATTGTAGACCTGAAGGTGTCGAGAAGTCTTTGTTCCTTAAGGAAAATAAAGAGAAAGGCGAATGATACGCCACCTGGAAGCCACCGCCCTGTCCTTGAGCCACCCTTCAGTTGCTCACTGGTAAACCGAGGCGAACAAAGAGCAAGACCCTTTTCATCCCGACTTTGACTTCCCCAAATCTCCAAAGATCCAATTAATTGGTGATTATCCCCGCACTGCCTGCAACATCCTGCAACCACTGCCCAGGCCAGCCGACCAATTCAGCTCAGCACCCGGACGAAACCTGCCAGTTCCGGCTCAGCATCCGCCAGCGACTGCCTCAGAACGTCCCAGTTCCGATCCGCCGTCGGTCGTCGATCTGGAAAAGAACATAAAAGAACACAACAGTGAAACAGTGCAAAGGCTCGTGCAAAGATGTGCATTACGCCGCCTGGTAGAAACCAACCAAGTGGTAGAGTCCTGGTGACCAATCGAAACATCTTGGTTCTTGTCAATCCTTTTTGCTCCATGGCTCTCTTAGGACCAATTTCCAACCCCGGCTGGTGGTGCATCAACCGATGCCGGGAAGAAGTTCTCACTCTTCACCAAGCCACCTGAGTTAGGATGGCAGGAACCGCTCCACTGGATGAACCTCTTCGCAGTTCACTGGTTTATCATGCTCGCTTGGTTGAATGATGTTCAAGAATAAGTGACATCCACCCTCGCGCATACCCAGCTGGGTTCCCGTCTGCATGGCCAAAGCCAGCTGCTCATCCTGACAACGTCATGGTCATGGATGACAAGCAGACTTTGGGTATGTATTATCTCTCTCTATATATATAGTTATAAATTAGTGAAAAAACTGTCGACATCAAACCTATTATGGTTAAAATCGACTACCAATCAAACCTATAATATATGCTTTGAAACAACAGCTATGTGGCTATGTGTATTGTCTACTCCGCTCAACGAGTAACACTTTTTTGCCCACAAGAAACAGCTGAACCGTATTTGTGACAAAGGACCACTGAAAGGTCATTTGGGTGCGTATCAAAATAGGAAGACCTCCCAGTTCGACCTTACCCATTGGCAAGGGGTCTCCCTATTCAATTATACACACCAATAAACACCCATTTGGTCTAGAGTCTAGGCCTCCAAAAGCAAACTTTTGGGGAAGATGTCTGGCCCGGGGTCAGACTCTTTACAGCACGGCGGGTAGCCGTTTCCGGGCTCCGTACCTCTCGGAGGTCGTAGACCGATTGACCCACCTCAGCAGGGTTGATCCGTTTCTCGGGTTCTCCAGGATCGCAAGGATTGGGCTACCTGGAGATACCTCGAAGATGTTTTTCATGGTGAATTATGTTATGGTTTTGAGTAACAGCAAACGCTGGTTCAAGAGGGTAATTAAGGGCAATGCTGCAATTCTGCGGAATCTCCGTGCACGGTTGCTGTTGAGGGTTTGGCTCAAGAGAATCGCCAGACCAGCGTGATGCTTCTTCCAACTTGGGCTACAACATAGCCATCGAATCAGCATGGCGATTGCCCAGGGGCCATCAGGGGCCAAAAAGGTAGGACAGCAGCATATTTGACCTACCTCTCCACATGTTTCATTCTCAGCTCTTCACTGCGGGAGGAAGCATCTCACCAATCGCCCGGCGTCGAAGGCATCCTGCGAGAAGAGGGCGTCTCCGCCTATGAATGCTGATGGACATGTCGCACCGTCAGACGTGAACATGATCTGTTTCCAATCATGAAAATACGTTCAAATTACGGTGGTTGCCTGAGTGGTGCGAGAGACCTCGTCAGCCCCTTTCTGCCAAAAGATGAGCTAGAGCAAGAAAGAGCGTCTTCACGTGCCCACGCCGCTTCTGGCTTGCATGCAGTCCGCTCGTGTCCTGAGGCGGTAGGTCCAAGAAGTCTTCCCGTCACCTACATCATCCCTGCTGAAGCCCAAGCAGTACGAGCCGCGGCTTGCAGCGCCCAGATGACACTCACAAGGATGAGGCTGGTGGAGTTTCCAGGACAGCAACAGCCGCTACAGCCGCAGCAGCACCCAATGGCATCCATACCAACAACACCAGCAGCAGCAGCAGAAACAAAAACCATATCCATCCATATCCACCCCATGCACTGATCCAGCAACACTTGGACCTACACTCGGAGCGGCCGTCCCAGGAGAGCGTTCGGAACCGTCACGAGTGGTCGCGGCTTGGGCTAGGGCATAGGGCAATGTGGCTTGATCGCCTTGGGATGGGCCCTGAATTCATGAAACAAGGCCCTGTAACGGCTGAGATATGATCCACCTGTTTAATTTCCTCCTGTTCTACACCTTGGATGCCTACACCACTTTATTTAAGGATATTCAATTGCCTGTTCCATTTCCGCCCTGGGATATGATGATCTCTGTGGGATGTACGATTTCCTCCTGTTCAACAGCTTCAACAGTACCAGTAGTATGCCTGAAGGGAATACCCTGTAGAGGAGCCCTCTCAATGCTTTCCCTTCTGCAGCCTCAATCGATCGCATGTCAGGTTGCTCAACCCACTGACTGAAGGGGTGCCAACAAGGACATGTGGAGCAGCAAAGTCAATCAACTACATATATAGTTGATCCAGCATCTTGCGGTGCTGCTAATGAATAGGGTTGGCGAATCTCAGGTTCATGCATCACGGTTTAAACCATCCCAAATCTACAATAGATGTTTTGTAGGCCAATCTCTCAGTCTGTGGCCATCCTTCCCCTGCCGAGCGCTTCTTGGCAAAGCCGTGCGAACTGCTTGAAGATCGAAAAATGACGCGCTAGGTAGCTTGAACAGTACTGGAACTCTCATTGACTCATGGCGTGGTCCAAAGCGCAAGGATGACTTGTTAGACCTTTGGATAGAGAAAACATCATCTCAAGCTTCCAATTCCTCTGCTGTCAGTAAGACTGATCAAACCATATCAGTTCATACATCCATTTCTGCATTACTGTTCAACCATGTTCAACCTACCATGAACTGGTCGAAGCCCGTTCGCAGCGCGTGAAACGGGGAGAACATCGGCGCGGCCCTTTGGCCCCCGGGAGAACTGGCGTGCCTTGCTGTCAGCGACATGGCTTCGACAGGAAGGTTCAACCTATAGTGATTGATTTCATCCACTCGCTCCACATTGAATCAGGGAATGACTCAACGGATTCGGCTTCCACAGGAGATTCGGCTTCCACAGGAAACCCGGTGTTCGACCGAAACCACCTGCGACCGATGGCACCGCCGGGGTGTCCTCCCCCGGTGGAGGCGTAGCGATGAGCGAGACCGGTGACTGTCTCCACGTCCGGTTCGTGGGAGAGTAGGAGGCAGCCATGACGCCAGGGTTGGGACTGGGAGGACGGACGACAAACACCTGGAAATGGACCATGCAATTAAGGGGAGACATGATTGGAACGGATAGGTTCAGGATCCAGAAGGAGATTCTAACATCACAAAGGGTGCTTCTCTCCATGGAGACCTCATGAATGCCTCCTGAATGGCATGAATCCACTTGGAATCACAAGGATCAGGGTTTTCTTGTGTGGGCAGGGTGGGTGAATTCATCGTTTTCTTGGAGATCAACTGAGATCAACTGGGCAGACCATCAAATCAACTGACCCAGCAAGACATTCCCACGCTTGATCAAACCCAGAAATCGATCGAATCACTGGCGAGACTTGTTCTCGCAAGCAGCTCGGGAGCTGTGATTCTTGACAATAGCTATATAGACGAAGGCAGCATGTTCGAAGTTGCAGTGGCCAATCCTTTTAAGCCTGGAGTGGTTGTTTAAGGTAAGAAAATGAATCCTCATTCCATACAATTCAACAGGGTGTGGCATCGGTCCTTTCGCACACGTCAATTGTAAATCTGCGGGATAAGCAAGTCTTGTCAACATGAGAAACATTACTGAACGATTGTAGAAACTATTATAGTAAAATCACTGAACATCAGTGCAACTGCTCATCGACTCTCATTGGCTAAGCCGGGTCATCACGATTCATTCTCCTCTCAGAAAGCCGTGTCTGTCAAGGGACAGCTCACCTACGCCGACCAATGTGGTGTGAAGAATAACATTATGACCTACAACTGGAGCACGGAACAGCACACAATCTTATGGGTGCCTTAACGCATGGGAACACCATTTGAAACGCTTGGTATAGCTGAAAAGGCCTTTTAGGGTAATTATTAGCAACCCTTCAAGGACTCCTATCAGAAGTGTAAAGATGACCAAACTCGATTGGATTGCTCACAGATGGCTCGCCGCAACATCTGCAAAGGAGCAAATTTGCTGCACTCAGGCTGTGATGTTGGTGATGTTGCCAGCCGCCGCCCTGAGGAAGAGCACATGGGGAGGAGTGGAACAGCACATTCCAATCTGTTCACTTCACAGTTGCCAGAGCTCAAAATTTAAACATGCAGGTGCAAAAACCAGGCCGTTCTGAGGGAGTCCTTCATTGACTCATCGGACACCAAAACAAAGCCCTGGATGGGGTCTGGAGTTGGAGATAGTTAGAGACATCCAGGATAAAAATCAAACTCATCTGGCGAGCAAAAATCATGAGCGTACAATTTATGTATCTATCTATCTATCTATCTATCTATCTATCTATCTATCTATCTATCTATCTATCTATCTATC